TTAATCGTATGTTATTGAAATTTATAAAAATTAATGTTAAACTTTTATCTGAATTTTAAATTATGTTAAATTTCTTGTAACGTGATTTATTATATTTGTAATATATCGAACAAATTGTATGCAATAAATAACAATTGTTTATTCATAAACTTAAATTAATTCAATATATTTCTTTCTTATTACCTCGCTTGGCGGCACAATTAGACTTTAATAACTTTGTAATTTATACTAATGCAAAAAAAAAAATATATTTCACTTCGTTTGTAAACATTTTATATTTTCATAAGCATATGTAATCGGAAATAATCACATTTAAATTAACGATTGTTTTATAAAGTGACTAATAAACAAACATAATGCGACATTATTGCTCTCCTTCTGCATAATCTGACATTAAACAGTTAATAAAAGTACAATAAAAATTAATCATTTTACTAATAGCGTGTATCACTATTTTTTTGTTTTTTTTTTTGTTTTTTTTTTTGTTTGCAAAACTTGTTCCTTTTTTTTTTTATTTTCAGGTCTTATTATGTCGTTTTTCGTCTCTTTATAAAATTATACTTTCCGAAACACATATTATCTACATAATTACATTCAAAGATATTTCTTGAATTGTCCATTTAAATAGATACACCATACGCTTTTATAGATATAGAAACTTCCATACGAGTAGAAAGCTATTTGTGATTTTAGAAACTTTTTGTGTGAATATATTTTATCTGAATAAAACTTGGACATAATCACATGATGTTCTGTACTTTTGGTCAGCTTATACATTTTGAGTTGTTGCAGACTTTTACGATTTTACATTAATTTATAGGCAGCTTATATATCACTTACGTGTACAATCAACAAATACGATGCAAATAGTTTAAAATTTTAGATAAGTCGTTCGTTTCATTAAAATTGAAAACTACGTCGATTATCAAATACAAATCTTTGCTTTTCTATGATAATTCTTATAAAACTTTTTCAATTGTGCCCTATTTAGCTGTGTTTTATTAAAAAAAGAAAAGGAAAAAGAAAGAAAAAAAAAAAAAAAGGAAAAGAAAAAAATCAATTACCGTAGTGACTTTCGATGTATAAAGTGATGCCATTAATTTCATTAAAATGGCAGGAGCATTTATCCCTCCTACTCCCACTTAAATCTGCAAAATTAGAATTTCGAATGAGTTAGCGCCATCTACCATTGAACGTGAGAATCGATAGTCGAGTCACGTACCATGCGAAGTCAATTGCATTATTTAAAAAATGCAATTTGTGGTTCACGAGAAAATCTACAACAGCACTTAAAATCTTAATTATTAATAACAATCATAATGACGTGTTTATTATATTGATGATTAATTTATGCCATGTTTATGATAATGATAATTAAATCGTAATGATAAATGTAGTGTAGTATAATAAATTTCATTTACTATAATTGTTAGTGCGAAAATGAAAAACAATAAAAGAAACACCATTATAAATTTTTACATTATTAATTAATAAAATATTATTATTATTATATTTTCTTATTAGAATTATATGTATGAACTGGGAAAGTATAAATTACTTGAATTACAACATTTATATGATATATCGGAGTAAGGATAGACAATTCTTTTTGCAATTAGGGTACAGCGATATAAATATATTATTAATAATAATAAGATTATGGATAAATTAAATTAAATAAAAATTAAGATTAGTAATGAATTGATGTATCAATTTTTGTTTAAAAAGTTATAAAGCGTTAGCTAAAATATTAAATAAAAATTAACGAATTAACAGAATAACGTTTTATACTTATTGTATTATTAATTATATTACTTTTTTATATCAAACACAACATAAAAGATAAATATAAAAAACATAAAAAAAAAAAAATAAAAAGAATAAAAGAAAATTTTATTCTTACATAATAATAATAATGTTTATTTTATCTTCTAATTCAATTCAATTCAGTTGTAACAGCCAATTTAAAAGATAATATGATAATTTTTCATATGATTATTGGAGATTTATTTCCTAAACTTTTAATTCGCTTATTTTAAATTAATTTATTTTTGTTTAAATATTTATATGTATGTAATATACATTACTTTATTAGTAATAATTTATGAAAGTATGTTTCCAAATAAATAAGTTGCTATATGCTAATAAGAATATTTACTAGCTTAGGGTAATTTATTACTAAGAATTAATATAAAATTGGCAAGATTTTGGCATAGACAAGTAAATACAAAATCTAATGTTGATATTTTTAAAAGAAAATTTATTTTATCGATATATATATATATATATATATATATATATATATGATATGAATTATATTTTGTGATGAAATATAAACTATTCGATTGTTTAATGAATATGAATTTTTATATTCAAGTAGAATTCAAGCGAATATTTCAGTTATATTAAAAAATTTGTATTAGTCCCTTAGGAAGCATCGTTTTACAATATGATTTGGCAATATAATTTTTTTGCCCATTATAAATAATTAATTATGTCTAATATGTGGAGTTTGTATATAACAATAAAAAAATATTTACAAATAAAATTAACGCAGTAGTTGTATTATAAACTAGTGTGATTTTTACTTCCTTTTTTTTTATGAATTTTTAAAATTGTTTGTAAATTTTGTATATGCAATAATTGATACATAATTTAATCTTTGATAAAAATAATCGTGCAACGTATCTAATATTTTAGATAAGAAATTATTACTGCATGATTTATCTTATAAAAATATTTTAAATAAGGTTTCTTTTTTTTTTTTTTGTTTTTTTTGTTTTTTATTTAAGGTCGAAAAAAGTGATTCGATATTTTCCATTGATAAACAATGCCAGCTCTTCTATTTCAAATTATAAGTTCAAATTATAAAGCGCATACTTGTTAATAATATTTAATAATATGTTTTTCCATTAACCTGCATCTATGAGACAATATTTATTAATCAATATTTGTACATAATTATTGATTATTGATATATAAACAATGAATATAACGAATATACGTACGAATACCTTAAACCTTTTGTGCCCGCTTTTCTAATTTCTAATATTAAGATGTAAATAACGTAATTTCTAAATAAATCCGTCCTTTTGTATGTAGAGAGAGAGAGAGAGAGAGAGAGAGTAAGTCTTGTCTTGCATATCAAGAATTCATACTAATAAATAGAGTATAAAAATTTGCAATAATATTTATCACAATTATTTTGAATTATTTTGAAAATATTACTTATAATTCTCGTGATTGCACAATGCAAGATATTAGCTATGTTTATTAATTTAATCAGAGCACTTACTTTTTAATATTTCATTTTGAAATACTATTTAAATTTTTATCCTTTCATACTTTCATTAATTTATTCGTTGAAATTGTATTAGTCACTATTAAAAAAGTATACTGATATTAAAATATTTGCAATTAATTCGTTAAACAATTTCAAAGTATTTATCAAAAACAAATATTTTAACAAATACATAATCTTTAACATAATATATATAATTGTGTAAGTAATTAAAAAAAAAAAAAAAAAAAAAAAAAAACAAAAAATCCAAATATAAAAATAAGATAGATCATCGACTTGGCAAATTATATACATAATTACATTGTTCCTATTATTATTATCATCATTATCATTATTATTATTATTATTATCATCATTATCATTATCATTATTATTATTATTATTATTATTATTATTATTATTATTATTATTATTATTATTATTATTATTATTATCGTTATTATTATTATTAATACGATAAAAGCAATAAAATCAAAAGAATAGAAATGAATTCTTTTATATAAAAATTGATTTAAAAGTTCGATCAATTGGAGCAAGCTTTAAAGATTTTGATATCATTGCTGTCAATATTATCCAAATGGTAAGTATGCTTATGTTATATATCCTTAATAAACGCAAAGCGAAAGAGAAAAAAAAAAAAACCTAATATACTCTGAAGCACAACCAAATTAATTGAAAACAAAATCAATTTATTGAAAACAAAATAGTCGAAAATCTATAATAGTTCAGAAGCCCATTTTAAGCATTCGGCATCAAAATCAAATAACATTGTTTTTCGCATAAAAATTTAAGTTGCCATCTAATTATTTATTAAGAACGCGATAACCAATATAAGTATTTAAATATTAAAATGCCTTCTCGCAGAGGTGGTTTTAGGAGATCGAACTCATCAATGCCTTTTAAAAAGAGTCAACCTGCACCTCGACCTCCACCTCAGCAAAAAAAGGGGTACATTTAAAAATAAATTTTTTATTATCTTTTTGAAGTTTCCGCCTTACGGTTTTGTCCAAACATTGCTCGAACGGAGCAAGTATATAACGTGCGCGTCAAGTGATACATTTAACTCGATCAATCTGTTAAATAATTCCATCAATTACGCGCTCGTGCAATTTTTATATCGTTATATGATTATTCGCAGAAGTTAGTGGTACGTAGTACATTGCGAAAAGAAAATTGGAAACTTGCCGTATGTATTTTTTTCCGATATTACGGGTTAGTTTTGGGGCGGGAGGGAATCACGTGATCGTTTTGATTCACAGTATTCTCTCTTAAATCGGCGCATTTTTACACACGCACACACACATTCCTCCTCATTTTGAATACAATTCATAAATGCTTGCTTGCATCAATTGTCGTAATTACAATTATGTACGAGCGTATTGCGTAGATTACATATTGCAACGCAAAACGCAACGACCTGAAGTACGTCAATATTGCCCGACAAGATACGTCACTTCCGGTCCTTATTTTTTCGTTTCTATTCTTTTCTTTTTCTTTTTTTTTTTTCAACGTTCCATCGACAAATCAGAGTTAAGATTATCATCCCCTCCACGACTTTGTAGTTCGTTCAATATCGTACGGGCGGAAGTGACATATAAAGCACGAACGAGTATTGAAAAGGAGCTATCGCCTATACACGAACCCATTCACGAATTGACGCTCTTAGTTGTGAATTGAAGTTACATATTTCCGGAAGATATTAAATTTTAATCAACTTTGTGTTTAAACAAACATTGGACATAATGCCCCGACGTGGACGAGCCGCACCTCCATCAAGGACGTAAGTACCTTACTATCTTACGAGTATAATAAGGATGAACTCCATTATGAGCTGTCGAATATTCTTGATGCTTACGTAATCGTCACGTTGTATCTCTAATGAAAGAGATCGATCGATGTCCGATTAGAAATTGATATCGAGTAATGCAGTGATTTCAAAAATTCATTGTGGCAATGTTAATGTGTCATTGCAATGGCAAAGCCAATTTGTCTCATGAATTTTCGAAAGTTAAGCAAATTGATTTTTACGGAGTATTGATGGTATTCGATAAAAGTGAGGGATAATTAGGCACATGCTTACTTAATCGACGCAATTAAGATATTTATTGAAAGTGCTGGCGAGTGTCATTAATAAATCATGGTGAGTCCCTGCCTTGCTAATTAACGCAATTGTTGTCAATTTATTTTAGCGTAAGAAGCTCGGCAGTACCAGCGCGTCATGTTGCAGCAGCGCCTGCACCAATGTCTTCGCCCATGGTTGCCCAACCTAAGCAACCTGGATTGATGGGTCAGATGGCTGCGACTGCCGGTGGCGTTGCAATTGGTTCTGCCGTAGGGCATACCATTGGCAGTGCTATTACCGGAATGTTTGGAGGCGGTTCGGGCCACCAAGAAGCAATGGCTCCGGCGGTAGCAGCGGCACCAGCCCCATTAAGTGCCCCTACGCAAGCTCCGGGTGCTTGCGCTTGGGAAGTTAAACAATTCTTGGAGTGCGCTCAAAATCAATCGGATTTGACTTTGTGCGAAGGCTTCAACGAGGCCATTCGTCAATGTAAACTTTCAAACAGTAAGTACACGGCAGTCGCTTTATCGTCACATTAAGAATTTTTACTTTTATTATTGTTAAAAACATTGGTTTGTCGTTATAAGAGTATAATACTTTTTATCTGTTTTAGATTTAGCATTGTAATAAAATGGAGAATGTAGCTGCTAATTTCAATGGTTAAATAGAAGTACTTTATTATGAGAAGAAAAATAATGAAATTACTGAGTTTTTAATTTTATATATGTAGTTTCTGTACTTTGATTTCCGCATTTTTCTTATGTATACCAGTGCTACACATTGGTAATAATTCAAAAATAAATAGTAAATAATTGTACCTTAGAAAGTGTTTTTATTATTCGTAGACAAATATTAACAATAAAATACACTAAGTAGTGTTGTGTACATAAAATTGATTCAATACATTTAGGTGGACGTACATATAGGGAATATGTTTATATGTATATAAAATTTATAACTTTGTGCATAGCCCAGCTAGCTTAGCTATACATTGGAATAGCTGCCGTTATTTGCATCAACGTCTGTTTATATATTTACATTAGCGGAAGTACGTTTATCATTTAAAAATAATTTATTTTACAGAATAAAACTTTAGATAAAGATAATTTTTGTTATTTAGTAACATAAAATGATTCTATTAATATCATAAGAACTATATTCTTATTTGAATATTAACATGGCAAATTATAATTTTTTTTGTTTTGTTTTTTTTTTTTTTTTTTTGTATGAAATAATTGTTTTTGAAGTTTATAGATATTAATTTGTTCATAAACGTAAGTTGATATTAAAAGTGAATTTGACATCTTAAAATATATTCACTTCTACTAATATGAATAAAGTAGGGCCTGTTTGTGAAATTAATACATTAAATTGAATTGGAACGCACATTTATAATAATAAATATGCACTAAAGTATCGGCGTTAGTAGATTATATAGTTATAAATGAGCTTTAATTAAGTAAGATTTAATAAATTGGATCGAGTCAATGGTGAACTTTATCCAATGTTAAATCGTATCAATTGGGTTATGACATAAAAGACGTCAATTTATATATATGTGTATATTGTATGAAATAAAGCATTATTCGTTGTCTCTTAATTAAATAGTACATTTTTGTAATTACTTTAAAATCCATTTTGCTAAAGGTTTTGCTTTCTGTACATTACATATATAATACAGAGCATTTAATTTAATTTAATTTAATTTTTACCCGAGTGTCTGAATAGATTGTTATCAATGACCGTGATATAATCGTAATCGTTAAAAAAATTTATATACATAAATGTTATGATTTAAAAATTAAATTTTTATTAATATAGAATTTTTAACATTGTAGGGGTAATCTTATTATTGTTCAGCCTCGACAGTCTGGTATTCTGAGTACTTTTGCAGGGACTGCAGCCGGAGTTGCTGCGGTATAATCATCAGTACATTCAATTAAACGAACCTCTCATAATAAACACGGATATTACAGCAAATGATTTTATAGGGTTCGGTTATTGGAGATAAATTAACATCAAAGGGCGAATCTAATTCAACGCAACCAGCTGGGGAAGCAATGCCATCCGCTCCTTGTCAGTCCGAGGAGCAACAATTCCTTATCTGCGCTCAGAATCAAGCCCAATTGCAAGTCTGTGAAGCTTTTAAACAGATTTGGATGGATTGCAAGCGAAAATTGAATTCTTGATGCTTTCTTTCAATTAATATTATCAAATCAGTAAGGTTACTTGGACCATAATTGTGACTCAAAAGTTTATATACATACTTGATACTGAAATAGTATAAAATAAAGCAGTAATTCTATTATAATTAATTATAAAGCATAAAATCATTTCAAATCATTGATTTTTCATCAAATATATTATACATGTATAAATACACAACAGTATTTCTCAAAATTAAATTTTTTTTAAAAATATTCCTAGCTTGTTTTAAAATATCGATGCGAATCGTTTGAAAAATATGTTATTAACTAACTACCACTATATTTATATATTTATAACATTTTTTAAATCAATCGACGTGATAACAATTTAATTGTAAGTATGGAGAGATATCGATTTATAACGTTATATCGTTGAAAATTATTTTTAATTATTTAAGAGTTAATTTAGTTAACTTATTATACTCCTAGATAGCAATACGAAAAAATCTAATGTACAAATTATCAAATACTATGCTTTGAATACGATAGATTTTTAAAAATATGTCGATAAAGTTGAACGAATCGATTGAGCACCGTTAATTTTGCTCAAATTTAGGGATACTGTTTAAAATTAAAAGCTTATTGACTTAATATTCTTGCTATTATTCAATAATAATATAATATTTAAAAAAAAAAAAAAAAAAAAAAAAAGAAAAAAAAAAAATCTATAGCATAAAAGGTTAGTAAAATATAAATAAATACAATGATGTAGGTAGACATTTTTAAAGGTGAGTCGTTCGAGTAAATTGAAAGATCCACATATCCTTTTTGATTTGACAGAGATGTAATTATATAACGAAATAGATTACATTTAAAAAAATATCGAATATTTGTAATTTATATCATTTGACTTTATCGCAGATGTAATATGAGTACAAAAGAACGATGGGGAGAATCGTATCACCGATAATTATACAATTTTTAAGAGAATCTGTAATAAAGTCAAATCTCTTATCTACAATTGTACTTTTTCTATCTCGTTTACTTAGGTACGTTATAGTGATTTATTTTCATTTATTATTATTAATTTTTTTATTTATTAATTTTTTGTTTTTGTAAGCGATTAAATAAATTTCAGTTTATTAGAGATTTTGTTAATTTAACGCGCTTTTCGTAAGGAATCTTTATTGAATTAGAACGGATGCCATAAAGAGTTACGAGGGAATGGTAGACTATCTTTTATCAGAATTTAGAACTCGCATGACTACGAAACTAGCGATTGTTGCTATGGCAATGCCGATTCCTGCCTTCCACCAAACGATTGAATCTCCTTGCATCAATCCAAATTGTTTCATATGTCTGAAAATATATGATTTTTTAATGATCGATTGAGAAATTTTTTGCATTTTTCATTTTTTTAATACAATGAAAACCTACAGTTTTCATCATTTTACCAAAAAAACGAAAAATCATAAATTACAATTGCTTATTAAACATTGCTAATTGTTAATAATAAATAACGTATAAATTAAAGCCTATCATGCTCATGCAGCTGTACTATCATTTTATGTTATAAAATTATTATGATTTTATTCTTTATAAATATACTTAAAACTGAGCTGAGTGTGAATTAAAAAAACACAATAAAAATAGGTGCGCATATGTAAATAGTTAAGTGAAAATGTTCAAACGCAACAAGTTTCGGCTATAGAGCTACATCACTGAGATGGCGCGATGCTTTAAAACAAAAAAAGCAAACTGTGCGCCATTAAGCCACAATGGGCCAAGTCAATGGAGCTAACGCTATATTTCATTAAAACCAAAAGCTCTGTTGGCAAATCATCACATATGCACATTAAAAGAAGACTCGAATGTAGAGAGTGAGAATGAAAACTTAGAACAGTGCTGTCTACAATGATTTGTACAAAAAACATTTATTTGCGTAATTCAGTATGTCAGACCAACCTGTGCTTGTAAAACAATACCCACGCTGCTTGAAAGCGGCTAAACATGAAATTGCTTTTTATTAGTATTCAACAAACATTAACGTTGATATAAAGAGAAGGTAGGCAAAGAAAAAAGTGATGAATAATCGAGACTTTTAAAAAGCAATTCAATCGTCGAAATTATTTCTCGCGTTATTTTCATTGAATTTTCTTTGAATTTTCGGTACTGCAATTTATACACAAACTATGATATTTATTATCAATTAATTCTAATTTTCAATTCCATGTCAATTTTCGTATCCTTTGCTTTTTTGATAGTATGCATATTATTTAATTTTTAAATTATGAATAAAATGCATAATCGCATTAGTTTTATTTTCATTATACATATACATATACACACACACATATATATATATATATATATATATATATATATATACAAAGTCTTTTAAAATTATCTTTTAAATTATGAATAAAATGCATAATCGCATTAGTTTTATTTTCATTATACATATACATATACACACACACATATATATATATATATATATATATATATACATACATACATACATATATGTATACACACTATGTGACGTATTAAAAATATTAAATGCTGACTCACGGAAAGGCTGCCATTGTGGCCAGCTTTACAAAAATTTCACGACGTACTGTACGTGAAACACTATAAGGCTGTGGTGGCATTAATTTGTACTTGCTGCAAAAGCTTGATGGTTGAAATAAATATTCTTGCTTTACTTCCTCAAGATCATTTTTGTTTGCTATTATTAATACCGGGATCTTACTTTCAGCAAAATATTTCTGTCGAATGATAATGGATAACATGCGATTAATAAATTATGGCTTCAATAAGCGTATTAATAAAAGATTTTCTTAATAAATTAAGTAAGTCTACGTTAATTATTTGTATGTAATGAAAAAATAATAAGATATGACTTGGAAAGTCTTATGCATAAAGTACAGGAAACTTAAGTTATCTGAATTTCATATACTTTCAGAATCATAATAGCTTTACTTCAAAATAAACTTAAATCCTCTTAATAATTATTCTTATATTCTTATAAAACGAAAATTACCATTCAAGAATTGTATGGTATACTCTGGATATTTAAAGTACTAATTTGAAGTTTTTCAGTTAAATTAAACTAAAGACTATTTTACAGAATAATGCAGAGATAATATTTAAATACGATTTTAACATGTAATTTTACATTAATTGTAACATTTTCCCTATTTGTTATATTTAGAAAATATAATTTTCTTACTATACTTAAATAAGTGTGTGTGTGTGTGTGTGTGTGTGTGTGTGTGCGGGCGCGCGTGTTAATTAAATTTCATTAAATTAGAGTAAATTAAATACTTGTTCATTATTTAGGAAATTTACAATTTCATAATATTAATTTGATTAAAATTTCAACATACAAAGCATCTTAAAGGATAATTAATATTTATAGAACAAAATATATAATTATACTTACTATATAGATCCTTGCAATGTATTCAAAAGATTTGGAATTACTAGCATCATAAACGAGAGCACAAACATCACAGTGAATTTGTGAAGGAGTCAGGGCATCTTGAATATTTATAATATTAATATCTTTCAAAATTATAGTTTTTTCTTGTCCATATACATGAACTGTATTTACAATTGTGTTTGAATTATGCTGAATTGTATCGTCGTTCAATTTCTTAAAGAGAAAAAATATAAATGCTATAATATTATTTGTTAAATAATAAACTAATAGACGCCTATTAGTAAGTGAATATAATTATAAATTTTTTAAATGTAAGAACTGCAATAAAATTTGTTACTTATATAAATGACGAAGTTTGTAACAATTGTTATTTTACGAGTAGATTAAAATTGTTCATTAAAGGACTGAAGGGCGCAAAATTTTGCTTCTAAAATTTGACGAATATCATTAAATGGCTTTTATTTCAGCTTTACATTTATTTTTCATAAATACCTCGAGTTTAGGATCAATAAACGTTCTGCATAATGTTGTCTTTCCAGCACTTTTTGCACCAATAACATGACAACAATAAACATTGCGACTAGATTGTTTTTTAGCAAGATCGAGTTTTTTCTCTCGAGTAACAGTGATTGCTGCAGTTGCACATTCATTATTATATAAATTATAGCCTAAATAAGCCATATACTCTAATGTTTTCTTTACATTTACATAAGTCATTAGACTCCATTGACACATGTATCCTTCATAAGTAATCCAACCCTAAATGAAAATAGAAAACATGACATTGCGTTATCTTTTTTTCTTCTCTTCAACATTGCGATACAAGAAAAATGTAAAAGATTTGAATTTCCTTACCCGTTCATTAGTAGTAACCGTGTATTTATATTCATCCTCCCACGGTGGTGCGAGACACTTAGAAAATAATGACTCTAATTCCAATGGAGACAAAGCATTATCTTTGTCTTGATCGTGTAATATAAAAAGTTGCGTTAGAAATTCCTGACCTTTGTGAGATAATTCAGTTGTGCAGCCAGAAGGAACTTTAAGTCTATAATATTAAAATAATAATAAATATATTTATCGGATTGCAAAATGGAACAAGTGTTTTGCTCTCCTTACAGAGGTTTGATATATTCTTTAGCCATTTGTAGATCATTGTCGTAACCAAATTTTCGTAATACAGCCCATGTTGTTTCGTTCCTTCCTCTTTGAATGAACAGGCATTGTAAAAACATAAAACCTTTCATTGTAACACAGCCATTATATACTCCGTCTTCAATATTTTTTGATAAAACAGCCTTGACGTCTTCTAGTACTTGCGGTTGTAAGGGGGTATTGAAACACCATTGTTGAAATGCATTTAATTCCGCATCGCTTAACAAGCCATCGTTATCAACGTCACAAATCTAAGAGCAAATTATAATTGACTGTCGATATATTAGCTTAACTTATTGAAAATGAATTTACCTTAAATATCCGTTTTAATGCTGTTTTACACTCGTCGGTTAGCTGAAAAGCAAAAGTCAACGTTAAATGCACGAATGAAATGTAATAAAATAATCAATAGTCATCTTACCTCCTGTGTGTCGTAATTGTATAACGGGGTTGTAGGATGTAAAACAGCTTTCTGTGCGTAGTAAAACATCTCAGAGATATTCTGTAGTGTTTTCGCAGAACACTAGAAAACAAGAATTATCAAAATATTACAGCATCGTTAAAAAAAAAAAAAGAAAAGAAAGGAGATAACTTATATTCACTGGTATGGATTAAGAGATTAGTTAACGGAAAGTAATTTTCTATTAAAAAAATATTTCTCTTGTATTCTATTTACTCTTGTATTTCTATCATTAGTTAACCAAACATTTGCTTACCTCGATACAACTTTCAATTTCTGAAAATTCTTTCATTATTGGATAAACTTCCTCGATCGTCGAATAATCAATAATATCGATCTTATTGCCTACAAGTACAACCGGGCATCTGTTACTGGAAATATTTTTTCTAATAAGGGGTAACCAATAAGTTTTTGCATTATCGAGCGTTTCCTTATCCTGTACAGAGTAAACAACGCAAATAACATGTGCTTTTAATATTTCATTGCAAAGTTGGTCCTCCGTCTGCTCAACAGCTGAAGTGCATAAATATTACTTTAGAAAATCTGAGCAATTGCAGTAATTGCAAATTAAATAATAATCATGTGAGGGACACTCACCAGAATAATCTACTATTCTTGTGGGTACTTGTTCGGGTGTAACGTTAGCAGGAATCGTGATCTCCTCAGCTTTACTGGGCACATCATCGGCATACTCGTCACTGACCAGTGACAATATCAAGGATGTCTTACCGACTCCCCGGTCACCCACCAGTAAAATCCGAACATTTTTCTTCGTGGCGGTTTGGGTGCGATGCACCGAATTGCCCGTAACGACCATTTTTTTTCCTCCACGTTTCCTGGCTGTTACCGCGCTGCTACCGAGTGTATCAGACGCCGACTCTCGATATTAATTTTCACTTACGATTGCTTAGACGATACATTGTAAGCCAACGAAACTCCAAGCTCGAGAAACAAAGGATGGATAAAGAGAGAATGATCGACAAGGAGCGCTAAAACGAGCTCGTTAAAGAAGGAACGAGAAAATTAGAATGATGAGATCGCTGGTATGTGCCTCGGTAATTCGACACTGCGGATGTTTTCTCGTTGCAAATACAACCCGCGCACATATTCGCGTTGGGATATACGTGCAGAAGGATGTAGCGCGCGACCCGAACTCACGTTCCCATCGGGTCTACCATCCTTACCTAACCTTCATTACATTTGCTCGAGTGGTAGGCTTAAAAAGTTTACATAAACAGGGCGCGAAACTCAATTGCGATCGCGACAATCTCGCTTGCTCGCTCGGCCAAGGAGAAATCCGTCGTGCGCGTGGCTAATTCTCACACGCAACGAAGCTCCGTACTCCCTCTTACGATCCTCCGAGGGTGGGCTTTTCAAGGTTAAACGCTCGTAGATGATAGGGTGCGCGCGCGCGCGCGCGAGAGAGACAGACAGACAGACAGACAGACAGACAGACAGACAGACAGAATGCATGCGTGCGTGCGTGCGTGTATTTTTGCACGAGTGGAGCATGGCGGTGAATTGTCGAGGGGGGGGGGCAGAGAGAGAGAGAGAGAGAGAGAGAAGGAAGTAACTCTCGACACCGCGTTGGTCCTAACGCGCCCTATCTTTCTCGCTCCGCTCCCATGCCCTTCGCGAATAACCGCGTGACCGAGACGCGCCGGCGTGTAGTGTGCAGCACATGCGCCCTCCTCGACGTGGACCTCTGGAGCGCAATTTTCCAAAATCGTCGCCGTTAGTCGTGGATGAAGAGACGCTCGACTCGACTTCCTTCGCCAAATCTTCTCTCGCTTCTGCCCCTTTGGGCTTCTGTGTCGTCATCTTCTCCGTAACGGCCAGATCCGGGGGATAGGAGATGGGGAATGAGGATCCGCGTCTCCTGCCGCGCGAGCGGCCGGGTCATACTGTCAAGTCCTTGCTTGATCTTTGAATTAATCGGGATCTATGCAGAAGCCCTTCGCCCGCGCTTTTATCTCAAATGTACACGATGAGCTTCTCATGGCGAACGTCGTTCCTTCCTATTACGACACGACGGCTATTTACAACTCTTCCGAGCAAATCTCACAATTACTTGCATTCAGCTTTTGGACGATGAATCTATCTGCCCCTTTCAAACTTCAAGCGCAGCTCACTCGGCAGCTGGACAAATTTTATTTCAATAATTAGGCTGCACTTCGAATTCAATTTGCACACTACGAGCCCAATGTTTTTATTGTTTTTATTCGTACTTATTAGGTACTTAAAAGGAAAACAGGACGTTTCATTGCAAGAATCGCATTCTATCGCGTAATTACATTTTGAAGTTTTATTCGTAATAGAAGGCCGTACGTGCAGATTTTAATATGAGACATTGTTTACATAAGCATTTACATAATCAATTTTTATACGATCTAACATATAAAATGATGTATATATGCATAGATGTATATATTTTCCAATAATATTTATTAATAATTCAGAAATAACGATCTGCTTGCTTTCTTTTCTTTTCTTTCTTTCTTTTTTTTCTTTTTATTTTTAATTCGTGAATTACTATTTGAACAATTATAATTTTTTTTTAGGATATTCTATCGTTCGTTGAGTATTTATTTTTTTTTATGAATATAGGAACAATTTGTATATGATCGAGCTGATGTTTTTATTCAAGGTATAAGCCTCGACCAACCGTCATTAAAGTAGAGTATCGTTTTATAAATTCGTTATATAATTTATTTATTTATTTTATTTGCTTTTCTTGTTATTGTCTGAGGCATCGGTAACTATTTAAATTGATATTAGAATTAGGAATATATGATGTTATTATAATTGCAGGCGTCATTGCGATATCTTTCAATAACGTAGGTAATATCAATTTCTATTATTAAGCATTGTAATGATTTTATAAATTCTTAATATTTCGAAAGCGTCGCTGCATATATTTGCTGCAAAAATGAAGGATATTTCTATCGTGCATTTATGATAATTTTTAGCATTTGTACGTACGTAAGAATATACAATAGGTTATATTAAATATAAATATATATAAATATAAATATATTAAATACAATTAAATACAATAAAAATAAGCAAAATTAATTTAATAATCGTAATTTTATTTTTTATCAATTGTGAAAATTTTCTGAAAATTTTTTATATAATTTATCCAAATATTTATGTTGGAGAATTCATTTAATAATGCTCACAACATACGTTACCGAATGATCCAAAAAATATTGTTTCATTAACCTTTGCTTAAATCAAGGCATATTACAATAGATTTCAAAAAGATACAAATCAATTTGATTAGAGTGTTAAAGTGAAAATATGTTAAAAATTAAAGAATTAATTAGTTTAATTTTTTTTTTTTTTTTTTTTTTTTTTTTTTTTTTTAACAATATTTTCAACAAATTTTAAATAAACATATTTATACGAGTATTTGAAAACATTTATAACACATACGTTCCAATAACTTTTATTCAATTTATATTAGTTAACATTCTCAAAAATTTATTATAATCACAACATATATTCTTTTTATTTGAGGATAATTAATCTTGATTTTAAATAGAAATTATGTAAATTGCTTGTTAGTAATTAACTTAGTAAAGTAGTTAACTTTCTACATTATAATTAGATCAATGGATGATTGTACTTACTATTGAGCTGCAATTAAAAAACTGTTGCACCAAGAATCTTAATTTAGATGATTTTTAAAATAAGAAATACTGTCGCTATGTTAATCAAATTTTTTATAAATTTTTTATTTTTACTACAATTTCTACCTCTTATGAAAAAAAAAATTATGTTTTTTTAATTTACTAACAGTTTCATCGACTAATAATTTCAACGTTATATTATTATTATTATTATTATTATTATTATTATTATTACGATTCACTATTATTTATTGATCTGATGCAAGTAAGTTGTGGTTACTTTATTTCAATCATTTTTCACACGTTTCATGTATATAAATTTATTTATCTATTGCCAATGAATTCTTATATTATGGAAGAAACCATACATAAAATTTAATTATTTTTATTGTATAAACACAGTGAGTAAACTATTATTCACAATTACATATAATATAATACATTGTTATTTATTGTTCAGTCCATCGTAATTTCTTTTTTAAAATAGTTTTAAAAAATATGCATTGAAAATGTATCAATGCATTTTTCGACCAAATTTTATTTATATTTATTGACGGAAATAATATTTCAATGACATTCATTATAAATTAGAATTTAATTTGGATTTCACATTGCAATATTCATACAGCAATGTTACATAATTTCACGTAAAGTAAGGTAGTTTGTTTCCTAAGCTATAATTAATATGTAAAATATTATTTATATGAAAAATTACATTGTTAATTGAAATTATAAATATTATTTTTTGAAATTCATGTTCCATTATATGAATAATATTTATTGAATTTATTAGTTTATATATAAGTAAATCGTTAAATTTAAGGAATATAAGCATTGTTTATCTATAATATACGTTAGGTGTATATATAAATTTCTTATGTAAAATAATTGTAAAGAATTCCATAATAAATGTAATAATTTAATTATATATAAGAATGAGATTAGTAATGATACTAGAAAATAATTTTATATATAAATGAATGAACAACGGTAATTTATACTTTTGAAAGAAAAACACATTAGTTAGTCGTTATTAACGAAATTTTTTTTTTTTTTTAATTTCATTATACTAAAATGAATGTATGAATATCAAAATGAATGATGCACTTGATTATTAATATTTATTAATACTAGCTGTATTAAAAACATTGCCAAAGTTGTGAATATATATATATATATGCACGTTTCAATCATTTTGATTTTGAAGTTGACTAATATTCCGTAATTAAGTTATAATATTTTGTTACGATTATAAATATTCGGCACCTTTAATAAAGACAACAGGAAAAAATGAATGTTACGAAAAAAAATGGCTTCTTTTTTTTATAAAAAAAATTGTTGATTATAATCATACTATTCATTAAATATTTATTCTAATTTTTTATTAATGTTTTAGTGAAAATAAAATAATATTTTATTATCTATTTAAAATAAAATAATTTAATTAAAATTAATAAAATCTACTAAAATAAAATTTAGTGAAAATAAAATAACTTAAAAATTCTTAAGGAGTATATATCGTTTTTGCAGTTCCTTAATTTAATTATGATATTTTAAACATTTTAGGTGCAATTCAAATATAATGTTTTTATAATAGAACAATTTAAATATACACTTACGTATAATAATGTAATAAGTGTAAAAATATATTAAAATTATGTTATTTAATACGTCCTGTTTCAATGTAAGTTCAATGTAAAATATAGTATAATTTTTACTTATATAATTTCCATACAATTATAGGCCATTGAATTAATAACTAATAAAGAAAATTAATACTTAAATATATATTTATAAATTGTTTAAAAGTATATATAATTAGTAATTTTTAAAATAATTTTGCATATATACAAATGTTGTATGCTATATACTTGTATAACTGAACACAATTTATAATTTTTAAATCCTTAAATATTGGTCATTCATTAATATTTATATTCGACATTATTTATTTATTAACAAAGCAGATATATTTTTTATTAAGAAGTAACTTCATATTATATCCTTCCATATTAAGTTTTAGTTATTGAAAAAAGATTACATATTAATATTATCATGGTTTGATCCATTTTTATAATTTAATAATTAATAAATTTTAGGATTAATAATAGCTTATAAAAAAATTGAGATTTTTATAGTCTGTAGTGTATAAACATAAATTAATTACAAAGAAGATAAAATTTTCAAATAAAAGTTCTACAAACTGATTTCACTATAATTAATTTTTATTTTATATTTTTTTTTATAATTAATTACTTTTAAAAATTTGGAAATTTTTAAATACTTTTTTTAATTAAAAAGTTTTTAATTGAAATATTTTTAAATAAAATATATTTTTTTAAATTTTATTTTATTATCTATTTAAATATGTTTTTTTTTTTTTTTTTTTTTTAATAATCATGCACAAATACAGACAATTTATAAATTAAGTTAAAATAAAAATACCTAAAGATTTATAATAGAATTACATTTATATTATATTGTTGCCAAAAATTACTTTATACATATGGTACTTTATGTATATGGAAACATAAATATATAAAACTTTGCTTGATAGGAGGCACATTATATCAACTAATATAAGATCATTTTTACAATTGTCTTTTAATATATTAATAATATTAGATAATTACACAGTATAAATATCTTTAAATATTATAAAAAAATTAGATCTTTTTCTTAAAATTTGATTTATTCATTTGTATATTTTTTAATTTATCAGCAGAGAAGACGCGAATCATCTAATAAAAATATGTAAATATGTCGAAG